CCGGGGGTTCGGGGGGGCCCTCATGGCGGGCCCCCCGGGCTCCCGCTGACGGCGGCGTACAGGACGGGCTCCGGGGCAGGGGCCCCCCGCTTGGCCTGCAGCGCCTGGTGGTCCAGCTCGGCGTAGGTGAGTCCGTCGGGGTCGGGCTCCTGGGGCTGGGAGGGGAGAGAGTCACTGGGGTGTGGATGGGCCTGTACATCCAGCAACTGCCCCCCCCAACACACACAGAGCAGGGCCTGTCCCCTCCAGCAGGGGGCGCAGGGAGACACACACACACACACACACACACCCTGGTTCCTGCGTAGCCGCAGGAAGGCGCAGAGGAGCACTCATCCCCCTGCCCTTTTCTGCAGCTGCACAGGAGCCAGGTGGTGAGCTCTCCCCCTCCCAGAGGCTGGTGGGTCCTGCTCCCCCACTCCTTTTTGCGACTGCGGAGGAACCTCCCCCACCTGGAGGCTGGCAGCTGCTCTGGAACCTGGGGCGGTGAGTGGCTATTCCCTCCCTCCCCCCCCGCCCACACCGTAAATATACCCCCAGCAAATATACCTCCGGCACAGAAAAGTCTTGTATATCCCGCAGGTTATATTCTTGCACGAGGTATACAAGATTTTTTTTTCCTCAAATAGAAAAAACCGCAAGGTATATTCGGGTGAGTGTTATATTCGCTAAATTACGGTATGTCTTAGTTAAGAAGACCACTCTACCAGTGGACATGATCTCCATTGAAATTTTCTGGAACACAAAACTGAAGGTCACTTTTAGAAGAAACCACTATGATATAGTTAACAGGTGCACATTCTTCAGCTATGCTATTGCTCTTCAAGTGCCTTACCAGACTTGTTACAAATATTGAATTTGAACATGCCTCAAGACAACTATTTTCTAGTCTTGAAATTCAAGAATAACCTACACGGATGGTCATGTTCTCCTATTTACTTCTAAATAAAGTGACAGTGGGCGAGAGGGGAATGCTTAATTCTGACTCCTCAAAAAATAAAAGTTGTTTAAGGAGTCATTTGACCCCACACCGGTCTACCAAGAGTTACATTTGGCTTACTTCTGTTCTTTACAAGAGCTTTTATGTTTCATAAGATCCATCCCTAAATCCATTATTCATCCTAAATATCCAGAGGCTAACTTTGTCATTTTCTGATTTTTGACTGCTTCACTTTGAAATATTTTATTAGTTTATTTGTATGGAATTTTCTACATTTTTAAAAAATTAAAAAAGATTCCATTATATTTAACTTTTGCTAGACTGTAGTAAAATGTTTTGCATTGTAAAGTATGTATCATCAATAAGTCCTCTTCCTGTACAGTCATTTTTATATCATTGTGATGGGGTGTGCGTACTGTATACTGGCCCTGTTAGCAAGTAGTGTCTAATAGTGTCACCTGGATGCTTTTAACTGGTTTTACAGTCTGCATATGTTTCCCTATTTCAACAAACCAAGTATTGAAATGACCTGTCCTTTCTCATTACTGCATCTGTGTAATCATACACTAAGATAGAAGTGCATCCAAGACAGTTCCTAGTTTTCAAAAACATATTTTCTACAAATTCCATGCTGTTGCTTCTGCCTAAAACAGTTTCCTCAAAGGAAAAGATATTACAGGGCTGAATAGTGTTTAGGGCCTTAATACTATACAGGCAGTCCCCGAGTTACGCGCAGTTACGAACGGGGCTTTTCTCGCCCCGGAGGACGGGAGCGGCGGGACGCCCAGATGCGCCGCGGTCCAGGAGCTTTCATGAGAGAGAAAAACCAGAATTGAGTAAGTGGTTTGTCTAACATTTTCTCAACTTCAAATTTATATAAAGAGAATGAATGTTGTAGACTCCAAATATATATAAACTGAATGAAGTAGCTATCTTTTGAGAAACCATATCACCAATTATTTAAATTATAGCAACAACAGAGATAAAAACATTAATCAGATGGAAAGCTAAAGTCCTTTCTTAATGGATGTATTACCCTTCTTTCTGCTGAAACCATACAGCTTATAAGATAGGCATATTTCTCTAATTCACTGATTTCATTTCCATTTGGAAATAACAATATTCGCACAAAGGTATTTTTTTCTGAGCAGAAAGTCATCAACAAGTGTGATTTCAAAAGGTTTCAAAACACAGGCCATTGCACAAACACAGAGAGGAGTTTCAACTTCCAGCAGTGCTGCTGCTTCCGTCTTCTTTCCTAGAGTCAATGTTATATAAAGAATTGTAACGAGCCATCAGATTTTTAAAACAACAGCCAAATATAAAAATCCATGTTATACAGGCAGTCCCCGGGTTACGTACAAGATAGGGACTGTAGGTTTGTTCTTAAGTCGAATTTGTATGTAAGTCGGAACTGGTACATATTTTACGCCAGGTGTCCCCGATTC